CTACGTGGGTGGTGCCACCACTGCGCAGGTAGTCCTGGGTTGTATAAGAAAGCAGACAAGCCGGGCGTGGTGGCACATGCCTTTAATCCCAGCACTCGGGAGGCAGAGGCAGGCAGATCTCTGAGTTCAAGGCCAGCCTGGTCTACATAGTGAGTTCCAGGACAGCTGGGGCTACAGGGAGACCCTGTCTCAAAAAAGACCAAAAAAAGAAAGAAAGAAAGAAAGCAGACTGAGCACAGACCAGGAGTGAGCAAGCCAGTAATCAGCATGCCTCCATAGTTTGTGCTTCAGTTCCTATATCCAGATTCCTGCTTGAGTTCCTGCCCTGACTTCCCTTAGTGCTGGACTGTGATGTAGAAGTATAAGCCAGATTAACCCTTTCCTCCTCCCCAAGTTGGTTTTGGTCATTGTTTTATAACAGCAATAGAACACTAACTAGAACAAGGAGCAAGTTAACTTTCCTGGCTTTAATTACCCCACAAGTACAAGGGTAAAAATCATAGACTTACAGCACAGAGATGTTAGCAGAACTAAATGAGAGAGTGCAGAATACTTTTCATGGTGCCTGGCACACAGTATATAATAAATGCTGGCCAGTATTGTGGTTGGGGTCAATATTATTAGTAAGTCTCAAAATGACCAAGTAAGGCGGGCAGCTATATATGATAGGAAAACTGAGGGTCAGAGCAAGTCTTTCCAATAATTACCCCCAGTGACCACACAAAACATACAAATGCACATGCACATTACCCCCTTTCACTGGTCTGTGTAAGGTAGAAAACACTCAAGGCCACTTGCCAGGTCTCTCAAGAGACTTACAGCAAAAAGGTAAACTGAAGATTGAACTGAGGACCTTGCACAAAGCTAGGCCAACATCCTACCACTGAGCTATATCTCCAACCCCAAGTGACTGTCTACTGATAAGCTACATGAGGCAGGGGAAGCCCAGGTCAGAATGAGGCAGCATTTTAGAGTTGTGAAGTAATGAATGTAAAGACTAAATGAATTCCAGTTTACACCCATAGGCGACAGTAACGAGAAATGAAATCGTGGTGGTGCTGACTTCGAAGAACGTTGCAGCTCTGTGGTTGGAAGTAGCTTATGTGAAGGAACACCTCAGTACATCCTGGGGCCCTGTATCTTAGTTTCCTGGTAGCCAGGGTTGGGGTGGGATGGATCCAGAATTGGGCTCCCACTCGAAGCACTGTCCATCACAGTTCAGAGGCTGAGGGCTCCTCTTCACACCGCCTGAGCACTGGACAGCCCCGCCAGCCTTCTTTGGCCTTTCAGGGTGTTCAGTTATGGATTATGTAACAAACACTTCCCCATGTAGGAGCATTAAAAAAGCATCTACTTGATACTGTAAGTTTGGAATTCAGGCTGGGCACTGAGACTCTGCTCTTTGCTCTACAATATTGAGGGTCTTGGCTGGGCCAACTCAGATGGTTACAGATGTCAGGACAGCTCAGTTTGTATCTGCCTTGACCTTGGGGCTTCTCCATGTGCTAGATGGCACCTTCACTTCCATATCTGGGGACTGGTCTGGGAAGGGAGGGGTGACTAGGACAGTCCAGACTTGATCCTCATCAGGCAGCATCTTCTCATAGCTCACTCAACCTCCACACATGGTGGCCTCAGAGTGATCAGACTTCACACAGGACTGATTCCCAGAGCAAGTACTACAAAAGAAAGGCCCAGGCAGAGGCTGAAAGACTTCTCACAGACCATACAATAATAAAACTGCCTTTATATTATGATAATTAACATATTAATATAATGAATATTATATTCTTAATGTAAAATTAAGCTCTATTATAATATGATTTTCAGTCTTGTCCTTTGTCTAACTTTCAGAAAAACAATTTTCCTTCCATTGTGCATAGTGGGGATGACACAGAAGAGGCAGACAGAATGCCCCTGCAAATGAGGCTCCCCCCCATTGGATAGTATGTCCTCAGGTTGAGATATGTCCTCAGGTTGAGGGGGGTAGCTCAGTGATAGAGCACATGCCTGCCCAGCATGCACAGAGCCCTGGGTTCCATCCCCAGCAAAGAGAAAATGGGAGAAGGAGGGGGGAGAGAGGGAGAGGGAGAGAGAGAGAGAGAGAGAGAGAGAGAGAGAGAGAGAGAAAGGGAAGGGAGGAAGGAAGGAAGGGAGGAAGGAAGGAAGGAAGGAAGGAAGGAAGGAAGGAAGGAAGGGGAGGGAGGGAGGGAAGGGAGGGAAAAGTATGGCCTCGGGTCCTTTCTGATGGCACCTGTTCCCCCATGGGTTCTGGTACAGTGGAACAAATAGCACAGCTCTCAGTGGCAGGCCTCAGTGTCCATAGGTCTCCCTGACATCCAGCATCCATGTTTCAAAAGTCAAGGCTACAGAAAAGACAGAAAGATAGTAATAACCAACTCTTTACGGAATCATAAAAGAACGTTCCAAAACATTCTTTTAAAAAGCAAGATCAGTTGAGTAAGGTGGCTCACCTCTGTCATCCCAGCATTTGAGAAGGCTGAGGCAGGATGATTGTCACAAGTTCAAAGCCAGTCTTGGGGGCAGGCAGAGGGCAAGCTGTCAAGGAGCATGAAAGCTGAACCTTTGGTTGGTAGACTGGTCCCTTTCTTCCTTGAGCAGTTTCCTAATACCAGGCACTCATTTAAAATGAAAGGGCAGAACCTGTAACCCATCATCATGCAAAACCTTTCAGCTTCCCATAATAACCACGTGAAAAATCTCACTTGCTCAGATGAGCAGTTTTGACTTCCATTTGAGACACTGTAACCTTCAGTAGCTCTCACTTCCAAGAACTTGTCTGAGGCTAATGATAAAGGAATTTGCACTCTAAGCTCCACTGCACTCGTGTGTGAAGACTGCCTTGTTAGAGTCACCAGCCCTCTAGGCCATGTTCCCACCCAGAGCTCAAGTATCACATCCCAGATATGTCTGATACATGTGGGACACTGACCACCTTCTAGAGTAGTGGTAAAAAGACCAAGAGCTATGACCCCCCCCTCAAACAGTAAGGAAGTCAGAAGGCCCATCCATCTTCTGCAGACCCACACCAGCACAAGGTAAAGCTGACAATGACGTGAGCATGTAGGCAGAGGAAAGGGCTCAGCCCTCTCTGTGCCTTGATGGTCAGAGCTGTCTCCCAGTCCTCCTCCATCATTTGTTGGTTTGTTACTAATTTACTAGTCTGACTTCTCCCTGGAGGCAAACATGGCTCATTGTTCACTGCAAGTAAGTGTTGGATAGCTGTGCAAGGCACAGTATCTCAGCATCATATATGTGTGTGTGTGTGTGTGTGTGTGTGTGTGTGTGTGTGTGTGTAGCCCAGAGGAGACTGCTTCATTCTGTCAAACCAGCTCTCAAGCTCAGAGGCCTTCCTTGACCTGGTCTGAAGACCATGACAATTGATATGACTTTAACCTACAATCTGGTGGGTCCAGAGCCTTTGTCTCTTCCACATAGCCTCTGAAGGCCATCCCATGTCTCCCTGTCCATCTTCACTGAGTTCTGAGGACAAGAGCCTCTAACAGTCTTCTCAGACACGTGAGAACTGTGCTTCCAGTGTGCTAGGTAAGAACTGGGGGGCTTAAGAACAATGAGGACATAGTTGTCCTATCAGCAAAAGCAGACCGCCGTCTGTGACTTTGCAAGACCATGAGGCGGCGTTGTAGGGACAGTCACAGAATGAAAACTTGGTGCTGGTGGTGCCTGTGCTCAGCTGGTGCAGTAGCACTGAGAGCCTTCTCCAGCTAGGGTTGTATAAAATTTGCTAAAGCACGCATGAAGCCACAGGTTCAGTCCCCAGGCCTGATCTATGTAGACCTGCAGCCGACCACTTCTTCAGTGCCCTGTGACCTAAGAGTGTTGTGGAGACCCTGCCTTTGAGGAGCTAATGTCATGCTGTCCTTGTGAAAGAAGATAAGGAAGAAGCTGCACTTAAGGGACAAAGCAGAAATCAAAGTATCTGAAGAAGCGAAAAGAAGGGTAGAAATGATCCCTCAAGAGGGACTGATGAAAGATCTGAGGAAAAGAACGTACCTCCTAGGTGCGGCTTGGCATGGCATGATAGCCTGACTTTCCTGTCTCTTGCTGATTTGATGATAAAATATAGATTGAACCCTTAGGGAGACCAAAAGCCTCAAGAAATAGACAGATAATTGGCTCTGTTTGAGCACTGTTTGCATGCTCATTGCTGCAACTGTGAGACTCCACACCAGCATGACTAATGCCTCTCCCCCCTGCCTAAATTAGATTTTGATTGTGTTTCGTAGATGTTCACTGAATCACAGATGTTTGAGGTAAAAAAGACCCAAACTTCTCAGGAACACCTCCCATGGAGTGTGTGGGATCAGCCTGCGCAGTCATGGCAGAGGCACACCAAGCACTGGGCTGACACCCCTAGTAACCCCTTCCCTTCCAAGTCCTCGTGAGCACAGCAGCCACCCACCAGGGAGCTGTGACTGGAGGGGCCCCTGGGACTGTGGGCTATGTGTCAACAATATCTATGGAGGACTTAATAGGAGGCCCCTCAAAGTGGCTACCCACAAGAATACTTGGCTGATGCCTTTTGTTCCTTTTTATAAATTTTTTGATCCATTATTTTTATTTTATGTCTATGAGTATACTGCCTGCATGTAAGTGAGTGCACCCGTGTCATGTGCACCTGTGTCGTGCAGTGCTGCAGAGGTCAGAAGAGGGCTTCGGATTCCCCTGGATGGTTCGTAGACGCCATGTGGGTGCTGGGAATTGAACCCGGATCCTCTGCAAGAGCAGTCAGTGTTATTAACCGCTGAGCCATCTCTCCAGCCCTGGCTGATGCCTTTTGTAGTTGCAAAGTGGGAACTGGAGCATCCTGTTCATACAAGCTCCGACTGAACCACTGCAGCCTCAGGTGGAGTAATTCAAGGTTCCTAACTAGTTCACCTCCCACACTGATCCTCAACCATCCACTCAATCTGATTCTCAGCGTACTGGTAGTAAATGCTTTCTCGTTTTCCTTGCAGAATTTAGCCTATGAAATCATCCTAACACTGGGACAGGCATTTGAGGTCGCTTACCAGCTAGCACTCCAAGCAAGAAAAGGGGGACATTCCTCCACGCTTCCAGAAAGCTTTGAAAACAAGCCTTCCAAACCCATCCCCAAGCCCCGTGTTAGCATTCGCAAGTCAGTGGTAAGTAGAAGAGAGAGGCGGTCTATAAGCCTGCCACCAGAGGGAAGGGGTGGGGGCTGCGAACAGGGCCCAGTGGGAAGCAGAGGGCTTTAGAATCCAGCCTGCTCTCCTCTCCTTTCCCTTGACCTCCTCTGGCATGTGACCATCATCCTTAGCCTGGTTCCTGCCGTCTCAAAAGAGTCTGTCCCTGAACCCAAAGGTGCCAGAAAAAAAAAAAAAAATCCCATTCTCTCTGCCACCTGCAGCAACAACCTTGTGAGGGCTGGGTACCGGCTGTCCTTGGCACACCTTGCCAGGAAGTCTAGAAAAGCCTGGCTGCAGCCTTCTCAGAGACCTCAATTGCCACCCTATCAGGGGTCAAGCCTCTGGCCTCGACAGGGATTTGCAGAGGCAGAAGCTGGATGCCCCAGCTCTTGCACCTTGCATGAGGCCTGGGCAGCATCCTTTAGAGGCCTGGACTACATCCTGGGTGCCTTCCCTCTGGACAGCTGAGGCTCCCTGCAGCCTAGTGACTGTCAGAAGGTGCCGCCTTCCTCCTACTTGTCTTCTGCCTCCCTCCAGGAACTTCCTCCTTTCCCTCCCTCCCACAGGCTCAGCAAACGTCCTGTCCCAACAGGGTGGTATGACTTCAAAGCGGCCTCCTCTGATAGTAGCAACACCCTAAAGCTGGAAGCTTCCCAGCCAGCTTCCCATCTGCTTTCTGCTCCAGCTACCATCCTGCATCCTAGAAACCCAGGGACTGGCACTGGATGGGCCCCCAGAATGCATTGCCCTCTCACCTCCCAGTCTCTCCATCTGCCACACTCTCCTCCTCCCAAGGGCTCCCAGCCAGCCCCAGGTTCATGGGAAAATTAACTTTTTGGTTGTTTTGGTTTTTCAGTTTTTTGGTTTTTGAGACAGGGTCCCCCTGTAGCCTCAGCTGACCTGTAACTCACTATGTAGACCAAGCTGGCCTGGATCTCAGAGATCAGCCTGCCTGTGCCTATGCCTTGGGAGTGCTGGGATTAAAGGTATGCACCTCTATGCACAGAGGAAATAAACATTTTAAACCTCCACAGAGAGGCATTCCCCTTGGTGACCATGTGGCTTCTCTTTTATGTCTTTCCGGCCCCACTCCTGTCTCAGTTCTTGGTACCTTCCATCAGTATCTGATCTCTTCATCCCCCAAGTTTCCTCCTGAATCCCAGGAAGGAGCTTTCCTCAACCCTGACTAGTCATCACCAGTGGCTGTGCCTCTTCTGAAGCTCCCACACCCCAGTACTCCCACCTCAGCACCTCCTCAGCTTAAGCTCCCAGTTCTCTGTCTCAGTCTTTACCCACCCTTAGAACTCTAGAGGCACCTGTTCAGTTTGTTTTTAACTACTTCTACCTTCAAGTATAGATAATGCAAACAAACAACGTAAACAAAAACCACCTTGCTTCTCTCTCTGTCTTCCCAGCCCAGTTAGCAGCACAACTCTTCAGAGTCCATTTTCCACTCCTTCGAAATGTACTGTAGTCTGCCCACACCTCTCCACTTCCAACTTCGTTCTCTTAGTCTAAGCTCCCACCACTTCCCAGGAAGCACACTATTCCCAGTGACTCCCTTTCTCCACAGGGCAGGGATCAGATCATGGCACCCAGAAAATGCCAGAACTTCATTTCTCACCACACTCCTGGATGCCCAAGCCTTCCCTTTCCTTGAATATATACACTGCACACTCACTCCTACTTGAGATCTTTGTGCTACCTGTTCCCTCCACCTGGAATGTTCTCTCCCTTTCTCATCCTGATCTCTACATGGCTCACTCCATTCAGGTCTCAGCAGCATGAACAGGCTTTTTCTGACTCCCTTTGACCAGGATGGATGCCACTGTGCCCCCTTTAATTCTGTGTAGAACTGACTGAGTTTGTTTGTTTTTAGTTATTTTTACTGCCTATCTTCCTCCACAAAAATATTAGCTTCACGAAGCACACAGGAACCTGGTGTAATGTCACCCCAGGGCCAGGGCCATAGCCGGCACTCAGAGAAAACCTGTGGTTGAAGAAATGAGGGCCTGAGGGTGGATTTAATGCATGTATCTTTGAAAATGATTAGGCTGCTAAGTGTCCAGGAAGGCACAGCAGGTTTGGGGGATTGTCACTTAGACTACTATATTCCCTCTTGTGTGGGCAGGATAAGTCTGTTCGCTGCAGGTGCCTCCCCCCAGCTTTACTGTGGTCCCCGTAGACTTCTTCCAGAAGAACACAAAGGGTTTGGTGCCATACGGACTCATAGAATATTCTTCTAGATGTCTTCTCTGGGAAACAGGAGAACACACAGTGAACAATGCTAATGTTTTTACCTGCCTCAGGATCCAACCCCTTCAACAGGCTGAAATGTTCCCATTTCTTCAGCTCTCGTTGTTTACTGTTAAGAAATACACAGTGCTCCTAAGACTGTGTGAAGCCCTTCCCTCAGCCAGTGGAGACACAGAAAGGCAGTGGTAGGCACAGGTTCTGCAGCCCTCCAGCAGGCTGGGAGGCTGGTGGAGGGAGACTTGGGCAGACCTTCCAGAAGCTCCCTGCCCCAAGTTACAGAGCGAAGCAGACAGCCAGACAGGTCAACAGTGGAACTCCCCCAAAGGATGAGGCAGCAGTTGGGAAACGGTCTTACCTCGGGCCTGTCAGAGCTTACAGCTCAGCTGCAGCCCAGGGAATGACCAGCTTGACATTATATGAAGCGCAGGGACTCAGCCATCTGCTAGCAGGACAAAAGTCCACCTAGGCCTAGCCTGGCAGCCCCTGCTGACCTCTTCCACTGTCGCCCATCCACCCCCTCTCCCACTCTGACATGCCCCCCCCCCGGATCTCCACCTGCCTTCTGTCCACCCCAGTGTCCCTCCTCCCTCCTTCTCCTGCCCAATCTATCAACTGTGTTTACTGACTCAAGTGTTTGTTGTGTTCCTACCATGCCTGGGGTTACCAGGAGCTTTCCTAGGTTAGGAAGAAAACAGCAGTGAAGGAAACAGCTAAAAGCCCTTCTTCATGGGTGTCCATTGTGGAGAGGGAACAGATAAGGATGTCTGTGGCACCGGTGTTAGGAACAGAGAAGAGGGGAGCAAAAATGTTGGCGTGCTCTTTAGTGGAGGGCGCGGCAGGTTACAGCTTCTAGGAAGGGAAGTGGTGCTGGAGCCCAGACCTGGACCACACTGGAACAATGAACTCAACCTCAGGGCAGAGGTCTCAGAAAGGCAGCAACGCAGGTCCCCCATGAGGACCTAGGGTTCCCTCGGACCGTGATGAATCCGCTGGAGGGTGGGACGCGGGAGCCCCGCCGCTGCGTCTGCTCCCCTGCCTGAGCCCTGGCGGCGAGGCCGGGTCTCACTCGCGTCACCCTTGCAGGCCCCTGCAGAGTCGCTGTGCAGCGCAGGTGCGAAGGCGCGAACGCCGGGTCCGCCCCGGAGCGCGGCGGGGCGCGCGGGGCCCGAGGTGGGGTTCCAGCGGCGCCCTCGCGGCCGCGCAGCCCAGCTGCCGGATAACGGGCATCAGCCTTTCTGTTTTAAAGCAGATCGACCCTTCTGAGCAAAAGACTCTGGCCAATCTGCCGTGGATTGTGGAGCCGGGGCAAGAAGCCAAGAGGGGCATTAATACCAAGTATGAAACCACGATTTTCTGATACTCGCCGTCCCCGTCCTCGCGGTGCCTTGCTCGCCAAGCAGTCCCCGCAGCAGGCTTTCCTTCGCGCCTCCGTGTCCACCGCCCGGGAGGAAGACTGCTCAGCTCGTGTGGCCTTGTCACGGGCGGAAGGCCGCCGGCCATCCCTGGGGAAGTTCTTTCTGCACAGTGACCGAAGCGCAAGCAAGACTTTGCCGCCGCCCCCTGCAGGCGAAGGGGGGCGTTGCGGGGTACCCCAGCTCCGCCGCCTCCCAGGTACTGCGCAGACTCGGCCCCAGTGCTTGCTTTGCTCTAGTTGGGGAAGAATACCTTTTTAAAAAGTGAAGGGGATCACTAATACTGCCTAAAAGTTTAAACATCTTGGGTTTAAGTTTTCACTGTCAGCGGCTTGGAAGGCGAAGTCAGAACAGGACTATCCCCAAACTAATCTGTAAAATCATTGTATCACTGAGTACGGTTGAATGCAAAAAGATAAAAACAATCCTCATGATTGCCAGGAAATTCTGTCTCCCAATTTCTATATTTGTGGATTTTATATGTAATCAACCATGTCGGATAAAGGAAACCTTTAACAGATGATTCAAAAATTTAAAAATGATTTAAAACAGAGGAATTTATTATGCACAGGAAAATGTGTCTTGTATTAAATATTTTTATTAAAAGAATGTTTCATTAATGCATTGATAAGAATACTAGGTTAGTTGTGCGGGATGTTTCTGGTTTCATTTCAAATAACTAAATTTCTACTGCTATTTCCGAGACTGGCTCAGTTGTGGCAAAATCGTAATGCGGTCCACCACGCAGGAGATGCAGGCTGGCATTCTGCGGTGAACCGAAGGGCTGATGCAGCCATAAGCCTGCAGAGGTGGCTTTTCTAATCTTTAAAGTGTTTTAAAGAACATGTTTAACAAAAAATAAAATATAGGGCTCCTGCTGTCAAGATTTCTGTCATGGAAACCTTGTTTGAGAAAGGTGTTAATAAAATTCTATTGCAAAAATTTCTTTTCTAAGAAAAAAAAATAACACAAAAAAAGAAATTCCAAAGTAATAAAACTTTTCTTGAAACAGACAAAAAAATAATGTTTGCTTACTATTTGATTAAATAAAATTTACTTACATTTCTTTAAGGTATTTTAATTTTTTTAATGTCTCTGTGTCGTATTTGTATGATACCATAATGTATATTTCTGTAGAATCAAATTATATAAACAGTACCAATATCATTATAGAAAAATAACATTTTAATGTATATTGTTCTAATCAATCATATTGTGAATCATTTTGAAGTTCATTATAGCGATATTGATAAATTGTGAACTTGTCTTAATGTTTTTTTATTAACCAATATTATTTTAAACCTGAGGTTATCACAATCATCAGTTAGTGAGTTTTGAAGAAAAACTAAATTTTATTTCGACTGACAAATGTATATGGTTTCAGTTCAGTGTTGGAGAATTTTAATACAATATTAAATTACTTGAACTGAATAGTTCCTTGTATATATTTTGCCTATTCACTGTTGATATGTATGTAGTAAATTGAGAGGAAAATAGCACTAAAATATGGTACCAAAAGGAAAATGTATAGGAGCAAAGCAAACAGTGACTTTGCTGAAACAGAAGCATATGTGTAAATAAGCTTGGGCTTCCAGTTATAAATTTTGTAATTTTTGTCATTATTTATATCCTATAAAAAAGCACACAAAATAAATCAGAGGTTGTACAGCGACTGGTGCGTGGCATCATTCTGTGAGCCCTTCCAACTCAGAGCTGGACCAAAGGCCCAGCCCTGTCACACAGCCAGAGGGATTTGTTTTTCACAAATCATTGGGAAAAAATTGCTAATTTCCAAGTTCAACTAGTCCGAGAAACACTTGTCTTGTAAAGCCTGAATGTGAGCCATCGGTCGTCATAATCTTTAACTATGAAAGTGGCTTGTAAGAAGAAATTGGTCAAACAAATTCCTAAAAGACAGGGGACTCCCCCCCCCCAAACTTCTCGCCTACCTAGTGGCATATGTGAGTTGCCTGGGAAAAAATGTCATCTACATAGTCATAAGTCCTCTTGTTTTTTCCATCAACACGAGTGCCTGCATGAGCACTGGCATTTGGATAAGGCGGGCCACATCAGAGCCACATGGATTCTGTGCATGACTGGCATGCTATATCCCATGACCTTCAAAAGATCCACCCACTGCCCAGTCCCAGACTGCTCCTCTCAGAAAACCCAAAACAATCTTGGGGTGTTCTCCACTTGATTGCAGAGGCCTGGGGCTTTGAAACCTACCCAACACTGGGGCTGCAATGGCCCCTGCGAGGCACTTCCTTTCCCGAAGGAGACGTCAGGCTGGGGTTTTCCACAATAATGCTTCCACTGGGCTAGTTTGTTCTTTTTTTTTTTTTTTTTTTTTTTTTTTTTTTTTTCGCCTTAGCTCTTTACTCATCTAATACATATTTTTATACATAATGATACTAAAGCACACAGCATACTCCAATGGGAGAGAATTTAATAGGAGGTAGGAATTGACTAGGCAGTCAGGGAAAAAAAGGCCCCAAAGAAATGTAGCCGGTTTCTTGGCTAAAAGTCAAAATGTCCTTGGGCCTGTTAGCAACATACTCTATTCCAAAGGCCAAAAATGTCAAAAGTATTTGGGACCTTGTATCTAATCCTTAAAAGATTTTAGGGTTAGGCCATCAGAGGGGGGAATGTTGGAGGGGAGGGAGTGGGCATAGGGCTATAGGGAGAACTGTCTCAAAAAGACCAAAAAAAAAAAAAATATTTTAGGGATACCTCTTCAGAGGGGGAAAGTTGGAGGGGAGGGAGTAGACATGGATTTGATCAAAACACCTTATATACATGTATGAAATTCTCAATAAAGTTTTTGTAAACATTAAAAAAAAATTAATAACTATACTATTTGCTTAGTGGTTGACAGTCTCCTTGTCCTGGCACCAACTTGAGGGGGAACGAGAATAGAAGCAGTGATATGTGAAGGCTGCCCATCCAGATTAGGGGAGATGACCAGTTGCAATGACCCTCAGAGAAGAGGACAGAGGTCACCCCGATCTCCCTCTCTCCATCCTTCACCCTCTACCCCACATGACATGAATCCACTAGAAGTCAGTCCAACAAGCAGCCCCATAGCCAGGGCAGAGAGTGGAAGGAACAAACTTGTAGCCAAACAGAAGAGCCAACCCAGGCTTTGGAGAAGGGAGCTGCAGCTGATATTTTTAAGGGAAAACCTGATACTTTGATAACTGCAATAATTGTGAGGTGAAAGGTGAGAGTCCTTAAACGCTAACATTAGTCATAAAGGACTTAAATTCTTTCTTTTTACAAAAGGACTTGAATTCAATTGCTCAATTTAATTTTTTTCTTTTTTTAAATTGTATTCTATAATAAATCTGGGTGAATGGACGCTATTAAAAAGTGTGCCTAGTCAGTTCATTAATAAGTCATGGAAGTGATTTTTCTCAAGACATGCCACATTTTCTCAAGTTAGACTACTTGGAAATAACATCAGCCCACCTAATGTTTGGATGAAATGAAATAGTTTAGGCTTAAAGGACATGTGGCCACATTCTCAAAAATCAATAAAAATTCACACTTGGACCTTGAGTAACATTGCTCCATTTAATTCTAAAAAGAAATGCAAGTTTGATAAGTAATATATCTTTCAGAGAACTAGAAATCTGCATGGAATAAAGTCTCTTTATTAAGACATTACATTTTAAAGTTCTGTTTTCCTATGTTATTCGATATTTCCTATAAAAAAGTAATCTGATGGTTTTAAGCACATTTTCTTAATATAGATTTGGATGGTCAACCAACACAGACTAACAACCTACCTACAACCAGCCTCAGCCAACACGCCCACGGTATAATCCGTTCCTGGTCTCCCCATGCCCAACCAGCCTCCCAAACATTTACTGCGGTCTGCTCAAGTAGCAGAGCCCTGCTTCCCACAGAAACCGGTTCCAAAACAGAGCAGATCTGGGCACAGGGGTTAGGCCTGTTTCCATTCACTGTCCTGCACCCAGTGGCTTCCACTGTATATGCAGAGGAACTTGTTTTTGTAAAGTCCCCGGTACAGACGGAATGCAGATTTCACTCAACTGTTTCCTATCTTGATGTCAAATCAATCGATTTACTGAGAATTCGCTGAATTTCCCTCCATTTCCCTCCAGCTGCTTCTACAGGCAATCATTCTAGACCCGACATATTGCAGCCGAATCGTAACTCAGATTCATTGTCAAAACAGTTTTCGGTTTTCCTCTCCAAGGCCTCAGAGACCTGTTTGTAAAAGCAGCCTGGGCCTTGAACTTCCCAGGAGTGACTGGGTCGTGATATGATGAAGGTGATATAATGAAGGGTAAAGGCGGGGAACATCAGGGTGAGTGATCTCAAGCTGTCTGGCTCCAGTGGAGTCACCCATCTAATGGTGCGCAAAGCCTCAACACCTTTATTCAGCCAGCAGAGGAAGGTGGGGTCAGATGGCAGACATCAGGAGCCCCTGTTCTGCAGGTCGAGCTCCGCCACTGTGGAACTCTCTGCATTGTCTCATTTCCCTAGAGAACAGCTCTTGCAACCAAAGTCAGCTCATAACGGTAATAAAAGTTGCTGAAAGCAATCCATGTTCGATACCCAACATAATTGCCGTGTCATCCCCATGCTCGATTAAGCTCCCCACGGTGGGGCAGGGGGGTGGTCCCTGAGGATCGT